GGTCAAAGTCAAAAGGACAAATATTTTTATATCCAAGAAAAAGGTCTTTTCACAGTAAATTTACATGTGAAGTTTGAAAGTCCTAGCACAAACTATTCAGAAGTTACGGCTATGGTTAAAGACAGATTTGTTAGGTAAATGGTTTGCAGTGACCTTGAAATATATTTCTAGGTCAAATGGGAAGGTCTTACCTGATAACTTTAAAATCCAATTTTGGACCATAAATTCTTTGGCTTAATATTGGTCAGTCGTTAAGGTTGAATGCAAGTTCTAAGCCAACCGGGAAACTTCAAAGTCATTGGTTAATATGAAATGCTTTAGAATTCTAATGTCCATTATCTGAGCATAGCCCATTGAGATGGGCACAATCTACATGATGTCTATTTCTTCCCTACATTTTCTTAATTTTTTTCAGAGAACGATTCCCATACCAGTGTACCAGTATCTTTCAGATGAATGTTACTTTTCGTCTGATAATATAGCACCATGGGATCCAGAATTTTTGTGTTCCAAAAGTGAGGTGGAAAGCAGTTTAAGTAGTAAATCTGACGATGAAAGTGACACTTTGTTTCGGCCCGAAAAAAGAAAACTTGGACACAATGTTAATAAGGCTAAACAAAGGCCCATGGGCCAAATCGCTCACCTGAGCACTGTGGCTAGGAAAAAGCAGAATTGATTTATACTTAAAAAGCTTAAATCCAAAACTAGTTCCAAGACCAATCGTGGCTTTGCTATTCTTGTGAAGAATATTTTCAAAGAATTTTCCTATACATTTCTATGTAAAACTTTGGTCGGCCATTTTGGCCCCGCCCTACCCCTGGGGGTCATGATTTGAACAAACTTGAATCTACACTACCTGAGGATGCCTCCATATAAATATGATCAATTACGGCTTTGCTATTCTTGAGAAGATTTTTTAAGAATTTTCCTATACATTTCTATGTAAAACTTTGATCAGCCATTTTGGCCCCGCCCTACCCCTGGGGGTCATAATTTGAACAAACTTAAATCTACACCACCTGAGGATGCTTCCATATTAATATGATCAACTATTGCTATGCTATTCTTGAGAAGAAGATTTTTAAAGAATTTTTCTATACATTTTTTGTGTAAAACTTTGGTCGGACATTTTGGCCCCGCCCAACCCCTGGGGGTCATGATTTGAACAAACTTGAATCTACACTACCTGAGGATGCTTCCATATTAATATGATCAATTATTGCTTTGTCATTTTTGAAAAGAAGATTTTTAAAGAATTTTTCTATACATTTCTATGTAAAACTTTGGTCGGCCATTTTGGCCCCGCCCTACCCCTGGGGGTCATGATTTGAACAAACTTGAATCGACACTACCTGACAATGCTTCCATAAAAATAAGATCAATTTTGGCTTTGTTGTTCTTGATAAGAAGATTTTTAAACAACAAATTTCCTATATATTTCAATGTAAAACTTTGGTCGGCCATTTTGGTCCCGCCCTACCCCCGGGGGTCATGATGTGAACAAACTTTAATCTACACTACCTGAGGATGTTTCTTCCTAGTTTCATCTTTCCTGGCACAGTGGTTCTTCAGAAGATTTTTAAAAAATGCCACCAAATTTTCATTAATTCCCAATTATCTCCCCTTGAATGAGTGAAGGCCCTTCATTTGAACAAACTTGAATCCCCTTTACCCAAGGATACTTTGCAGCAAGTTTGGTTGAAATTGGCCCAGCGGTTCTTGAGAAGAAGTCGAAAATGTGAAAAGTTTACAGACAGACGGACAGACAGACGGACGCCGGAAAAATGTGATCAGAAAAGCTCACATGAGCCTTTGGCTCAGGTGAGCTAAAAAGGGAATCTCATTAAAAACTTGGAAGAAAAGAACAATATTTCTGAGAGATTAAAGACGATTCCTCAAAGTCTGATATTATCAGCTTACCCTGCAGTTCCCAATTCAACACAGAAAATGTTCTGGGCATTATCCTGTTATTCGCTCCGCGGAGCTAATAATATTTGACGTTGTTGACGTAACGTCAAAACAGTTCTTGGATGCAGAAATAGCAAATAAAACTAAACCAAGCCTAAGTACGATCCATTCATGTTAGGTCAAGGTCGAAATTAAAAATAAACAATATCTAAGGTGAAACTAATAACAGTAAAGAGATATATAATAAAAATGCAAATATCAAGTGTGTTGTTATTCTTAATATTTAAATAATATAAATACATATTTCAAAATGTATAAAAGAAATCCAAAACATTCTCAGTTTGTAATTATACGATCGTATATATATATACAGTAAAACTCGGTTATAGCGAAGTCCTGGGGACCTGTGAATTTACTTCGCTATATCCGTAATTCGTTATATCCGTATAACAAATTCATATAACCATTACAGCGAATTCACAATATGCATGTTTTCCTTTAGGTATTATTACCAAATATGTTAGGGAAGCAAATGTAACAAAACATATCTACGATAAATAAGATTTTATTATGAATTGAATTTTATAAACAAATGCTAATAGTAAATTAAATCAATTCAATTTTTCAAATTTTTTATAATGTTGGAAAGTTCGTTAAAAAAGATGTAATTTTCATTATATTTAACCTCAAAGGGACTCAAAATCAGTTCGCTATATTCGTAAATTCGTTATATCAGAGTTCGTTATAACCGTAAAATTTTACAAAGATTTCTTAAGAATTTTGCCGGGGACCCTGAAAAACTTCGCTATATCCGTGAATTCGCTATATCCGTGTTCGTACTAAATGAGTTTTACTGTATACTGTTATTCGCACCGGTGCGAATAACAGGAGTATACATATACAGACGAATTCCAGATTTCAAGCTAAAATGCCCAGGAAAGGGAAGAATTCCCGGGAAACGGGTTTCTTTGGGGGAGACCATATAAAAAAATGGGGCTTGGATATTTTTTTTGGGGGGGAGACACCCTAAAATAGTTTTAATGAATGAATATAGTGTCAAAATTATTCGCACCGGTGCGAATAACAGGAGTATATATATACAGACGTATATATATACAGACGAAGTTCCAGATTTCAAGCTAAAATGCCCAGGAAAGGGTTTCTTTAGGGGAGACCATATAAAAAAATGGGGCTTTGATATTTTTTTGGGGGGAGACACTCTAAAATAGTTTTAATGAATGAATATAGTGTCAAAATTATTCGCACCGGTGCGAATAACAGTAGTATATATATACAGACGAAGTTAAAGATTCCAAGCTAAAATGCCCAGGAAAGGGAAGAATTCCCGGGAAAAGGGTTTCTTTGGGGGAGACCATATAAAAAAAATGGGGCTTGGATATTTTTTTTTTTGGGGGGGGGGGGGGGGAGACACTCGAAAAAAGTTTGAATGAATGAATATAGTGTCAAAATTATTCGAACCGGTGCGAATAACAGGAGTGTATATATATAGATGAAGTTCTAGATTTCAAGCTAAAATGCCCAGGAAAGGAAAGAATTCCCGGGAAAAGGGTTTCTTTGGGGGAGACCATATAAAAAAAATGGGGCTTTGATATTTTTTTTGGGGGGGGAGACACTCTAAAATAGTTTTAATGAATGAATATAGTGTCAAAATTATTCGCACCGGTGCGAATAACAGGAGTATATATATATACAGACGAAGTTCCAGATTTCAAGCTAAAATGTCCAGGAAAGGGAAGAATTCCCGGGAAAAGGGTTTCTTTTGGGGGACCATATAAAAAAAATGGGGCTTTGATATTTTTTTGGGGGGGAGACACTCTAAAACAGTTTTAATGAATGAATATAGTGTCAAAATTATTCGCACCGGTGCGAATAACAGGAGTATATATATACAGACCAAGTTCCAGATTTCAAGCTAAAATGCCCAGGAAAGGGAAGAATTCCCGGGAAAAGGGTTTCTTTGGGGGAGACCATATAAAAAAATGGGGCTTGGATATTTTTTGGGGGGGGGGGAGATACTCTAAAAATAGTTTTAATGAATGAATATAGTGTCAAAATTATTCGCACCGGTGCGAATAACAGGAGTATATATATATATATATATATATATATATATATATATATATATATATATATATATATATATATATAGATGAAGTTCCAGATTTCAAGCTAAAATGCCCAGGAAAGGGAAGAATTCCCGGGAAAAGGGTTTCTTTGGGGGAGACCATATAAAAAAAAATGGGGCTTGGATATTTTTGGGGGGAGACACTCTAAAATAGTTTTAATGAATGAATATAGTGTCAAAATTATTCGCACCGGTGCGAATAACAGGAGTATATATATACAGACGAAGTTCCAGATTTCAAGCTAACATGCACCATTCCATTGCCATAAAATTTGTAAGACTTTCCAACTTCCCAAATGAAATAAAGACAAGTTGCAAATACGTACTTATTTATTTTTCAGTCCAATTTTCTTTAAATACATAAAATCAAATGTACAAATATTTAAAAGAAATAATTCATATATTATTTTCCTGTATTAATATTGGAAGAGAAATCAATATGTACAACTGGTAAAGTGCTTTTTCGGCCATTTTATTTCCAAGAGAAAGTACCATAGCACAAGGGGGGCAGGTATAGAATTCCTTCCCAAGTTCGAAATATTTCACAAAAAATTGCTTAATACAAGAAATATATATATATAAAGAATTTTAGAACATATTAAGATATATACAAAATTTTAGGATGTGTTTGAATTTTTTTCCGCCAATCTTCACATGTTTTGGTGATATGCGCATGCCCAACATGTAAGACGCACATTCCTGGCAGAGGGAGAATTTTTGCCAAAAAACCTGTGAAATAGTGAAATTCTGAGACTTAAAAGACGGTGATATTAATCAGGATATTCTTCTGTGTGTTAAGTGCAGATTTAAGTAGTCTACATGAAGAAATAGATACCAGAGAGTTGGTAAACTTTTCGGTAAGTCAGTGGCGTTAAACGGTGAGCGATACTCGTATACCCAAATACAGTGTTATTCTACTTCTTTGTCTTCACAATGACGGAGATAATACAGGTGAATTGTCAATGGAACAAGATGAACAGAAAACTGAAGGTTTTCAACTTAGAGAAATAATGCAGGGCATTTCCAGCATACAAACAACGCTAGCTAATTTCATGTTACGACTCGATGGTCAGGGTAAGCATCTAGACGATATTACAAAAGAAATTAGAGCCAAAAATGGTATTCAGGAGAGGCTAGAGAATGTCCAGGAGCAGGCCAATGATACTATCTACCTCGTAACAGAGTTGCAGAACAATCAGAAGAAAATGGAGAGAGAATTAAATAGACTCAGAGATTATGTAGTTAAGCTTGAATGTCGTGTGAACACGCAAAATAGTAAAATTATCGACCTAAAATCAAGATCAATGGAGAACAATATTATTATCAGTGGGTTGGAGGAAAAGAGTCCAGAGAGAAAGTCCCCGGAAAATCTCGCTAGTATTCTTAGGAATGTTTTCATCTCTGAAATGGGGATGGAAGAGGCAACAGTAAACGAATTCCGAATAAAGAAACTTTTCTGCATGGGGGAGTATGATGTACAAAGAAAGTTCCCGAGACCCATCTGTGTACAATTCAGTGATAAGAATCAAAAAGACCTTGTGATGAAGCATATTAAAGTCTTGAAAGAAAAAGAATCAGTTTTAAGAGTAGCCCAGCAGCAGCCGGAAGAGATCCGAGAGAGGAGAAAGCAACTCTACGAAGTTCAAAAGAATTATGCGGAATGCAGTATCGAGTCAAAATTCAAAGGTGATAAACTTGTGTTCACGCAAAGAAACTCAGTTTACCGGGAGAAAGTTGGACCTCTGCCTACCGCAGACGAAGTGATCAGAAATGACGTGGTTAATACTGCCGTTAGTACAGGAAAGTCCATAGAAGATAACGGGAACCGGTTCATAGCACACGCTACGCAGGTCGACTCCTACAAACAGATCAAGAAATCGCTGGTGGATATCATGCGTGTCGAGACGGTGCCAAGTGCGAGTCATAATATTTACGCCTACCGTTTCTCACGTAGTGATGGAGTGGTGCACGAAGGCTCAAATGACGATGGAGAGCATGGAGCTGGTAGGTTGTTATTAAACATAGGTAATCAGAGATTACAGAGCTCACCTCAACGAATGTTGTCTTTAAGTAAGGCAAAGTCACACAATTAACCAACAAAAAAGTGTACACTCCAAAAATGAAAATATTTAAGCAATTTTGATCTGATACTTTGAAAAAGACCTACTTAAAAAATTTAAACTAGTTCTTCTTAATGAAAATGTAATCAAAATCCAGCATCTGAAGCAATCTGAGAGTTTTCATTTCTTGATGCAACATTTGTGCAAGTTTGGTTTATACTATGTTATATTAGCCTTATAGTTTTTTGGAAATAGACCTGCAACCATAACTTTTACCTGGTCTATTATCTGAAAAATGTATGTCGAATTCAGCATCCGAAGCGAGTCCATTAGTGTGCATCCTAAGATGTATCGTCCATGCAAGTTTGCTCATTATAGGGCTCATAGTTAATTGGAAATGAAACATATATCAAAAACTAACATTTTCACTCATCCACAAAAAG